TCCGTACCGATCAGCGAGACTCTAATAAACCGGCTTGTTATCTGTGACTCCTATGAACCTAGAGCTCTGATACCAACTTGTCACGACCCCGTTTCACCCTCCGCGAACCATCGTGACGGCACCTACTCTCTACGACTAGGTAAGCCTAAATTGCGGAAGATAAACAAACTTGCGGAAAAAAACGGTTCAAAAACAGAAATAGAGCAATAATAGTGTTAAATGTGACACTCGGCATATACCATATATATATATATATATATATATATATATATATATATATATATATATATATATATATATATATATATATATATATATATAAGAGTCTCAAAACCAATATGTAAATCCAAGACCCGGAACCCCACGAATCACAAGCTGAGATAAATGCTACATAGCTCTAACTCCGGAATGTCTAATAAAAACAGAAAGATACAGAAGGGCTAAATACTAGGGCAGGAATAGAAAGGGACTCCTTGGTCTGCGGACACGGTAGATGTACCTCGGAGTCTCTAAGCAGTCGCCTCCCTCAAGGATGGTAGGCCTGATCAGCGGTACCTGGATCTGCACATGAAAAACATGCGCAGAAGGGGCATGAGTATACCACAGTGGTACTCAGTAAGTGCCAAGCCTAACCTCGGTTGAGTAGTGACGAGGAAGGTCAGGGCCCTACTGAGGTTAATAAATAATAAAATGATAGGATAAGATAAACAATATAATTGAGAAGCTACAGTAAAAGTCTATACGGGATAATAAGAGTACAATAACGGAAACAGAATATAAAGGCAAATCACAAGGAAATACCACTCATAACAAGGATAATAATCGGGGATCTCTTGGTATCCCGAGGATCTCTTAGTATCCTCAATATATACACTAGGGATCACTTGGTATCCCGAGGATCTCTTGGTATCCTCAATATATGCCAGGAATCTCTTGGTATCCCGAGGATCTCTCGATATCCTCAATATACGTGCCAAGGATCTCTTGGTATCCCGCAGCTCAGTCCAGATCATAATTTCGTGTAGGGGATCTCCCGGGATGTCGTCCCGTAGTCCCAAATTAAAAGTACACAGCAGCAACACAAGAGTATTAAATCAAATGCCAACTTCGTACAAGTAAACAGTTAATTCTAGCCTAACAGGCTTCACGTAATGCAATTAAGGCAATTTAAGCAAATAGGCAGTTAAGTCAACCAAGCATGCTTTTCTAACTAACAACATGCTAAGTTTGCAAGTAAAATAAAACAGGAAGGAAAGGAACTCAGTTTAAATACTTAAAGTAAAATCGGGTTTTCAACAATTAGCTCAAGTACGCACTCGTCACCTCACGTACAAGGCATTTCAATTATCAAATATCATATCCTAAGGGGAAGGTCCCCCACACAAGGTTAGACAAGCCACTTACCTTGAACCAGCTCAAAAACAACCTGACACCACGTCTTTGCCACGAGTTCTCGACTCCAAATGGCCCAAATCTATTAAATTTATTTGCATAATATAAATAACACTTCAAGTAACTGATTCTACGATTATATTCTAAGCTAATACGCGAAATTGTATAAAATGACCAAAACGCCTCTCGGGCCCACATCTCGGAATCGGGTAAAAATTATATATTCCGGACACTCATTCACTCACGAGTCTAACCATATAAGAATCACTCAAATCGGATGTCAAAAATCCAATCAAAACTCAATAATTCGGCCTATGAAGTTTATCAAATTTTTCCCCAAATTTTCCACCAATATTCGAAATTTAAAGACTAAATTTAAGTTAGGAATCATGGAAATTGATGTAAGTTGGGTAGAGATCACTTACCCAAGTTACCCAGGTGCAAAAGTCTTCAAAAATCGCCCCTCCCGAGCTCTCAAATTCGAAAATGTGAAAATAGGCTTAAACCCTCGAATTGGGATTTTAAGAAATCTGCCCAGGTATTTGTACATCGCGATCGCGAAAGGGGACCTGCGATCGCGAAGAGTAAAATTTGAGGGCTCCTGAACTGGGCTACGCGAACGCGAGATGGGTCATGCGATCGCGAAGAAGGAAAAGGGCGGGCTTACGCGTTCGCGAACAAGGCCACGTGAACGCGAAGGGTAAAAGACCACTGGGCCATATCTCTACTACGCGAACGCGAAAGAGGTAATGCGAACGCGAAGGAGGAAGGGACGGGCTTCCGCAATCGCGAACCAAGTCATGCGACCACGAAGAACAAATTAGACCCCCTCCGAAAATACACTACGCGAACGCGGAGGAAAGGTCGCGAACGCGATGAAGGAAACCAGATACGAGATTTTTCTGCAATTCTACAAGTTCCAAAATGACCCGTTGAGCATCCAAAATACACCCGATGCCCCTGGGACCTCAACCAAACCTGCCAACCAATCCTAAAACATCATTCAAACTTGTTCCAACCTTCAGAACACTAAAAACTACATCAAAACACCTACTTTTCATCGGATTCAAGCTTAAGAATTCCAAAAACTCTAAAAACACACTTTCGATCAAAAAGTCTATCAAACCGCGTCCGAAAGACCTGAAATTTTGCACACATGTCACATTAAACACTACGGACCTACTCCAACTTCCGGAATTCCATTCCGACCCTCGGATCAAACTCACACTATCGAACCGGAAACTTCAAAAATTCAACTTTCGGCATTTCAAGCCTAAATTAGCTACGGGCCTCTAAAACACAATCCGAACACGCTCCTAACCCTGAAATCACCCAATGAAGCTAACGGAACCATCGGATTTCCATTCCGAGGCCGGCTTCACGTTGTTCTGACTACGGTCAACTTTCCAACACTTAAGCTCTCATTTAGGGACTAAGTGTCCCAAAACTCTCCGAAACTCAAAATCGAACATCCCGGCAATTCAAATTAGCAGAAATAAACTTGGGGAAAGCAGTTAATAGGGGATCGGGGCGTTAATTCTTAAGACGACCGGCCGGGTCGTCACACTATAAAACTTTTTGGAACATTCAAAAGTTCTAAGTCCAACCTTGAAATAATATCTCAAAATATAAAATTATGAAATCTTTTAAGAAATATTTATAAATTACATCACAATAAGTATATTTATGTATTAAATATATCTAAAAAGTTTATATATGTAATGTCGAGTTGGTTTGGTTTCGGTTTGACTTTCTTTAGTTACAACCAAACCAATTATGGTCAGTTTTTTTTCCTAACACCAAACCAAATCAAACCAAATCATAGTCTTTTTTTTTTCTCGGTTAGACTCGAATTATTGAATTGGTACGGTTTGTCGGTTTCCTTTGTACACCCTAGTAATAACATACCAAACTCCTTGAATATGTCCAAAAACTATCACAACATAATAAATTATCCATTAAGGGATTGACACTTTTCTTCTACTTTCTACAAAGCTAATAATATTATTCGAGAATAATCTTTTAGGCGAGCAACTTGATTAAATTACTTTCCTTAGTGCCTTTTTACTGTAGTAGATAGGTTTTACAATTTGGGGAAATTGCTTTTCGAGTTGCAACCTGTACTGGTAGACTGTTAGTGATAGTGTGATAAGGTGCAACAACTAAGCGTACTTATATCTATGACCAAACTCAATAATATTTGGCAATTTAAGAAGCAGGTATCTAGGATATTTGCTGCACTTTCAGACAGGGGTGTTCGTCGGTCGGTACGGTACGATATTTAGACATTTCGATTCGGTATTCGATTTCTTAAAATCCTATACCAATACAGTACCTAATTAAATTCGGTATGGTTCGATTTTTCTCCTTTCGATTTCGGTTTATTCGGTTCGGTAACTTCAGTTTATTCGGTTTGAATACTAACTAGTGCATAGAGTCATACATTCTAATTTTCTTAATTAAAGTACTCAAAAATACAAAACTGAAAATGTTTGTTGACAAAAAATTTGTCCAAAACCAGCAATTATCGAACCAAATAGAGAAAATTGTACATAAAAGAATATTTGATCATTACAAATGTCTTGTTACTTGTTTAGAGTTAATTAATGAACTTTGAGAATAACGGAAAGTAAAATTTTGAATTTTTTATATTTATGTTATAACTGATAATATGTGTTTTATGTAATATAATATATATTTCGGTACGGTATCGGTATTTCGGTATTTTATTTTAAAATACTAAATACCATACCTAATACCAATTTCTTAAAAAACTTAAACCAAATACCAAAATACCGTATACCAAAATTTTCGATTTCGATATGGTAGTTCGGTATTTACCAAATTATGCCCAGCCCTACTTTCAGGTTTTACAATTGCTAGCCATTATTATTATTTTTAGGCGGTAACTTGTATAGGATCATTTTGTGCCCCTACTTTCAGGTTTTACAATTGCTAGCCATTATTATTATTTTTAGGCTGTAACTTGTATAGGATCATTTTGTGGCTACCGGATGACATAACTTTCGTCCGTGTGGCTAAAAATGAATTTGCTCATTTAAGAAGCAGGTATCTAGGAAATTTGGCGCACTTTCAGGTTTTTCAATTGCTAGCCGTTATTATTATTTTTAGGCTATGACTTGTATAGGGTCATTTTGTGGCTACCGGAAGACATAACTTTGGCCCGAGTGACTATAAATGAATTTTGCTCATATTTTTTTTACTATTTGTTGCTTTTAAATTTAAATCATACATAATTTTAATACAAAATTAAATCAAAAGAAGGGGACACATTATATATGATAAATATTGGTCATTTTCAAGAGTTAATATTTCGTTTAATCTTTATTTTTAAGATCTTATTTTTTTTAAAAGATATACACATTGTTATAGGGTGCAGGCGTATCCTAAATCTAGTATCATAAAAAAGGTAAAGTTAACGTTATGAAGCAAAACCTCAAAAGTCTCTACAATTATCCCTAATTTCTTTAATTCATTTTCTCTGTCACATAATTATTGGGACCAACGAGTACATCTAAGAGCATCCATACAACAATAGCACGCAGATGCTTAAGAAATGACCAAATGGTTATTGAGGATAGTTATCACCAAATTAAGATGCACATCCTACTGGACATGTCTTCACTGTTTACCTAAAAGAAGAGAATACTGAGAAATTAAAATACATAAGAAATAGTAGGTGCTGCTAATCAGATCCCCGAGGAATTCAAATTGTAACATCTATAACAATACCAAGCATATCAAGTTTCAACAAGCAAAATACTCTTAAGAAATTAAAATCCACATGCAATAGCTGTGGTGCTACTCAGATCCACTTTCATTTCCATGAGACTATAGTGCTAAACGAAAATAGAAATGAGAAAACAGCATAACCCAAAATTGCCTTGTAAATTCTGTTCCAATGTCAACCTCTCAACGATTGGCCTTGGCAACTCTTTCAATCTCATCCTTCTTCTTAATGGCATAGCTGCAGAAACAAAAATCATTCACAGGAGTAAGCAATAAAGCCGTACATATCCAAAGAAACTGAGTTGGAAAGAAAGGTGAACCAATCAAGTATACACTCAAAATCTCAAGCCTTTTACCTATTTGAAGAACCCTTGGCAGCATTGATGAGTTCATCTGCAAGGCACTCAGCTATGGTCTTGATGTTCCTGAAAGCACTCTCACGTGCACCAGTTGTCAGCAAATAAATGGCCTGGTTAACACGGCGAAGTGGAGAAATATCAACAGCCTGACGCCTCACAACACCAGCTGAACCAATACGAGTTGCATCTTCCCTGGCCCACTAATATGATCAAATGGAGAAGCAAAGCTATCAGTGAGACAGATGTATCAGTAGGGTATTTGAACAATATTGGTTGAAGTTGGAAAAAAAAGTATTTGAAAGTTGANTTTGAACAATATTTGGTTGAAGTTGGAAAAAAAAGTATTTGAAGTTGAAGTTGAAAAAGAGTATTCGAAAGTTGAAGTTGTATTTAGACATGAACTACACCTAGAAAAGATGTTTAAGAAAGTTGAAGATTTGTGAGTAAATTCATTATTTTATTTGAGATACTCCTCAAACTAGTATTTAAAATCATCCAGCAGCATTTGGGATACTCAAATTTCAGTATTTGTAAATATAGAACGGCCAAACCAATATCTGAAAATACTGAAGCATTTGACAATGGGCCCACTGTTAACCCCATTTAAAATAAAACAAAAATAAAAGATTGAAGAATATGTGAATGAATTAAGCGCCAATCATCAGTGTGCACCTGTTAATGACGGCATCAACAATGACTTGAATTGGGTTCTGGTCAGTCAACAAATGAATGATCTCCATTGCGTGCTTGATTATGCGGACGGCCATTAGCTTCTTTCCGTTGTTCCGTCCATGCATCATAAGAGAGTTGGTGAGCCGTCTCAACAATTCGGGGCACTGGGACCTTCCTGAAACGCTTAGCCTGGTATCTACCAGCTGTGTGTGGCATATAAACTGGATGCTTGGAAGCAGTTGCTGTGATGTAATCCTCAACAGAGATTGTACATTCGATCGTTACACCTAAAAAAGTGAGTACTCATAGTTNAATTTTGCTCATATTTTTTTTTATTATTTGTTGCTTTTAAATTTAAATCATACATAATTTTAATACAAAATTAAATCAAAAGAAGGGGACACATTATATATGATAAATATTGGTCATTTTCGAAGGTTTAATATTTCGTTTAATCTTTATTTTTAAGATCTTATTTTTTTTAAAAGATATACACATTGTTATAGGGTGCAGGCGTATCCTAAATCTAGTATCATAAAAAAGGTAAAGTTAACGTTATGAAGCAAAACCTCAAAAGTCTCTACAATTATCCCTAATTTCTTTAATTCATTTTCTCTGTCACATAATTATTGGGACCAACGAGTACATCTAAGAGCATCCATACAACAATAGCACGCAGATGCTTAAGAAATGACCAAATGGTTATTGAGGATAGTTATCACCAAATTAAGATGCACATCCTACTGGACATGTCTTCACTGTTTACCTAAAAGAAGAGAATACTGAGAAATTAAAATACATAAGAAATAGTAGGTGCTGCTAATCAGATCCCCAAGGAATTCAAATTGTAACATCTATAACAATACCAAGCATATCAAGTTTCAACAAGCAAAATACTCTTAAGAAATTAAAATCCACATGCAATAGCCTTGTAAATTCTGTTCCAATGTCAACCTCTCAACGATTGGCCTTGGCAACTCTTTCAATCTCATCCTTCTTCTTAATGGCATAGCTGCAGAAACAAAAATCATTCACAGGAGTAAGCAATAAAGCCGTACATATCCAAAGAAACTGAGTTGGAAAGAAAGGTGAACCAATCAAGTATACACTCAAAATCTCAAGCCTTTTACCTATTTGAAGAACCCTTGGCAGCATTGATGAGTTCATCTGCAAGGCACTCAGCTATGGTCTTGATGTTCCTGAAAGCACTCTCACGTGCACCAGTTGTCAGCAAATAAATGGCCTGGTTAACACGGCGAAGTGGAGAAATATCAACAGCCTGACGCCTCACAACACCAGCTGAACCAATACGAGTTGCATCTTCCCTTGGCCCACTAATATGATCAAATGGAGAAGACAAAGCTATCAGTGAGACAGATGTATCAGTAGGGTATTTGAACAATATTTGGTTGGATTTGGAAAAAAAAGTATTTGAAGTTGAAGTTGAAAAAGAGTATTCGAAAGTTGAAGTTGTATTTAGACATGAACTACACCTAGAAAAGATGTTTAAGAAAGTTGAAGATTTGTGAGTAAATTCATTATTTTATTTGAGATACTCCTCAAACTAGTATTTAAAATCATCCAGCAGCATTTGGGATACTCAAATTTCAGTATTTGTAAATATAGAACGGCCAAACCAATATCTGAAAATACTGAAGCATTGGACAATGGGCCCACTGTTAACCCCATTTAAATAAACCAAAAATAAAAGATTGAAGAATATGTGAATGAATTAAGCGCCAATCATCAGTGTGAACCTGTTAATGACGGCATCAACAATGACTTGAATTGGGTTCTGGTCAGTCAACAAATGAATGATCTCCATTGCGTGCTTGATGATGCGGACGGCCATTAGCTTCTTTCCGTTGTTCCGTCCATGCATCATAAGAGAGTTGGTGAGCCTCTCAACAATTGGGCACTGGGCCTTCCTGAAACGCTTAGCCTGGTATCTACCAGCTGTGTGTGGCATATAAACTGGATGCTTGGAAGCAGTTGCTGTGATGTAATCCTCAACAGAGATGTCATTGATCTTCACCAAAAAGTGAGATCATAGTTAAGGAGAAATCTTTCAAATTGCATTTAAGATAAGTTTCAGCCTCGCTAATACAGCAACTTAAGAATAATACTCAATTAAAAAAGGCAGAAACAGAAGTAACAATCACCTTAGTATTTAGTTAGCCCACTTAATTTTCTCACCCTCTCTCGCTCTCTACAGAGTCTGCATTAAACCCAATGTTCTCCACTCCGGAATGTTATTGAGAAAGAATTACACTTTTACTGAGTAGCAACAGCTTTTCCTTCTATTTCAGGGAATAACCAGCTAAAAAATATAGCCCATAATATTTGCCCTCCTAATACCTCTCCCCACCGAATTAGCTTATTTGGCTATCTGGCCCGAGTCTATAGGAGTGCAACATTCTAAAAGGAACATGTAAACTTAAAATCGCATAGAAGTAGTCTCAAAAGTCCTATAATCTCTTGGATTCAAATATGGCAGTGGAAGATAAAATCTATATAGAAGATACCAATTTGCTAAAGTCAAGTCTTAGTCATGTTAGTAAGTCCACTATAAGTCCAATGATCCTTAGGAATCTCTTAGTCCTGCTAGATATAAAATGTGGAGCAACTTAGATAGCGAGAGTTCATATAGCCAGCCCAACTTGCTTGGGATTCAAGTCTAGTTGTTTGTTGCTGCATCTGGCACATTACTATCCTACTGCAAGTCTTTTTTATCATGGCCCTATAAGTTGAAAAATCAGTTTCTGTTTTCCGTTTATGGAAAGTCAATGTAACAAATTATCAGTTTATTCTTCAAATTTCTAAGTTTTGGTACTCAAGCTCTATAGGCAGCAATTTTCCGTGTATGATAAGAACACAAAAAGTACATTCAGCTTGGATCTAGGTGACTTCAAATTTCAAAATTTACAATAAAATAAAACGTGCAAAGGAAAGAGTTATTAGCAGATATAGACATGTCGCTGTATTTAGGTACCTGGACATCGTCGTAGGTCCAGCGATTGAAAAGCATAACATCACTGTGAATCTTATTCTCTGCGGTTGCGTCTACTGGGGCGGCTACTACACCTGCGTCCATTTTTTCTTCTCTGCTCCAATTCTTCACCTGCTGCACAAATTTAACAGTTAGAACAATGCATTTCGCAGTATTTTTGTGTTTGTATATACAGATAGAAGGAGGGAGCCGCTCACCTTACGGGAGGAGTCTTTGCCTGCTGCTGCTGCTGTATCAGAGAGTGGAGTGTGTTAAAGCCCTAGAAACTTTATAGTAGGGTTTCGCGGAAGGGGGGCAAGGCTATAATGTTATAGTTCGGCCCAATCTATATTGGGCTTTCTACTCTGCTATGTCTTGGATCCGACTTTGTCGTCGAGCCCAAATCCAATTACTGCAAGTCGATTTTTTATGGAATTTTACCTAGCTATACTATTCCATTAGTATTGTACCCGCACGATGTGCGGATAATATTATGATCCTGCTAAATCTTAATTTAAAAAAAATTATATGAATAATTATTTGCAGAAACTCAAATATTATAACTCCATATATATATTTGGAGATGCACACAAATTAAAACATAATGTTGATTCAAAAATTAATAATACTATATGATAATAATGTAATAAAAATATACTTTAGCAATATTTTAATTAAATTAAAAAAACTATTATCTCAACAGAAGTACTTCTTACAACATTAACTTACATCTTTAATGTTAAAAGACAGACTAATATGTACATAATTGATGATATATTGACACCAACATATCATCACTTTAGGGAATTATCAACATATAGAACAATTGGATTAAAATTTACTCAATAATTTTGATGCCACTTTAATTTTAACCACACAATTGAAGTCCTATTGCTTTTAATAGTTTAAATGATACTTTTAGAATTGTTCATATCACTTTCTAAGTAAATATTGGATAAAAATTTAAATTTTATGGGTTTATTTTTATTTAGCAATTCATTTCGTAAGAATCAAGATTTTTTTCAATAAATAAAAATTTAATCTACTTTTAATATTTCTCTTCTACCTTGCATATATCCTAAAAGAAGATGAGTTGCTACAACTTGGTTGGTAATTCCTAATTAAATTAACTTACCTTTAATTATTGTCATCTTCCTTATTATGTGTAAATCGCAATTTCAGATAGTACGATAATATTCCTCTATATTTCACTCTGTCAAATCTATTTTATTTTAATTTAC